TTTCAAGATACAACTGTTGGTCGTTTTGACGTAACTTAGGATTTAATTTTCGGCCTGTTTCCTCTTTTATCTGCTTGTTCCGCTCCACAATCCCTGTTCAGACCTTTTTTCTAGTTGGAAACAGTTCAAGGCCGGCTGTGGCAGTTTGGTTTTAATTGGAAACTGTCTCTAAATTTCGAGGAGATCTGTGCACATGCATAGTAGAACCCTCCGAGAGTGGAGCTGGGGTGTCCACCAGCTTAGGTACCCCTACAGTCACCAGAATGGAGGTGCACAGACAGCAAGGGACCAGTGAACAGCTAGCAAAAGAAAAGAATGTCCACACCTTTATCTCTCTGGTTCTGCCTAGCGTCTGTGGCCGTTCCGCTCCTTACCCCACGTGGTCTCACCCAAGATGGCAGCTCCTGGAGCAGCCGAGTGTTCTGGACTAGAAAGCAGTAGATTTCTTGCTTCTGCCACAAATTCCCCCAGCTGTAAGCCTTCCAACCTTCTAAATAGTCCTTTATATGTGGTTCAGAGTTCTGGGACCAACCCCTGAGCCTGCTTGGTCAGGTATTCTGTGTTGTTGTTGGCGGAGCTCTTTACTACACATCCACCCGATCCCCATCTTGTTTGTTCTCTTAATGACTCACTTTTATTACCCTGTTCTTGGCAGGTTTACATGGCTTCCAGGAATGCCAGGGCAGAATAGTCTGGGTCCTCAGTTTTAAATAGTGTTTGGCTGGATTTGTACCTCCCAGCTGAAAATGAATTATCTGCCCTTGAACTGTCTTAACTCAAGATCCATGATATTGTCTTATTTACTGACAATATCCTTAGCTTGAGTAGCTATTGTATGTATCTTTAAGTTTTGTTGTGATTTTATATAAAAATATAAAACAAAATCATTGGTCATTTTAGTCATTTTTAAGTCTACAAATTTAGTGATGTTAATTACATCAGCATATTGTACAACATTAACGCTGTCCATTTTCAAATGTTTTTCATAATCTTCAATGGAAATTCATTACCCCTTAAGTAATAACTTCCTAATTCCCCTTCTTCCCAGCCTCAGGTAACCACTAATTACATTTTGTCTCTATACATTTACTGGTTTTAGATATCTCATGTAAATGGGATCTTATAATATTTGTCCTGTGTCTTTGACTTATTGCACAGCCTGATGTTTTCAAGACTCATCTAATTCATAGCATGTGTCAGAACTTCAGTTCTCTTTATGACTAATCATTGTATGTATGCACTACATTGTGTGTATCCATTTATCTGTTAATAGACTCTTATACTATTTTCCTTTTGATGACCTGCTCTACTTTGTAATCTATGTCTTTCATTGACTTGTGTGTTCAAATGTTTTACGGTGGAAAATATTGACAGTACTGTATTTCGGGGTAACACAGCTTTTTTCTTTCTAGTCCTTATTTGGAAAAAACTTGACAACAATTTTGAATGAATACGTAGCCATGAAAGCAAAAGGTAAGGATACAGCCTCAGTGTTTTTTGTTATTTATTAAAAATATATAAATTATTTCTGTTGAGAGTATACATACATAATAGAATGTACACCAATTCTGTAATTTCTACATGTTGTACAATTCAGTGTCAGTGTTACTTTTTTTGTTTTATATGGTATTATTCAACTGTCTTAATAATAAAGTAATTTTAAAGGCCATTAATGTCTCTTTTTAACAGGCCTAAGAAAACTGATTTGAATTATGGTGGAATGTGATTTTAATAGAAAATATCTAATTAAATTATTTTGTATATATTGCTAAAATCTGAATATAAACAATTATAAAAAAAGTATTTTTTAAAGACATTAGGTAAAACTTAATTCTTGATTTTCTACCTTGATAAACATTTTCAAAGTGATATTTTGATTTTAAATACTGTGTAGTCTAAATCTGAACATAAGAGCAAATAATAAAATCCTGGCTTGTAATAGTTGGCTAATTTTAATGATAGGAGAAATTTGTGATTATCTTATTCCCTACTATTGATTGTTTCTATAGCTTAGAACATTGTCAAAAATAATTTGCATTTTAAAATAATTAGTATAAAGTTGTAATAAAAGGAAAGAAGCTTAACATTTATTGAGTATTATCAATGTTTATGTATGAAGAAATTGAACATTTGAGGACCTAGATAACTGTTCAAGGTCACAAAGCTAGTAACCAATGGATTTTACTAACCCTGAAAGTTTAGGGCCTGAATTTCATCTGTATTGCTTCATAAAGATTATTTGATATATATGTCTCTGGTCTTTTTCTCCTACCTATTTTAATCATCTTACAGGAATATTAGGAGTATAAATGACATCAGAAATAGTAGGCTATGCAGTACAAAGATTTTTATCCCACTTTATCCTGGATAGGTTTTGCCAGCTTGAATTATTTGCAAGTGTATGGTAAAATTTAAAATATGATTCTCTCATCTTTGTGGTTTTTGAGCACATTTAAAAAGGGTAATTAATCCTCAAAACCTTTACCTGTAATACTGAGTAGTAACTGGTGAGCATTATTTTTAGAGGCCTCGGATCAATCACAGTGAATTGGACATGTAGGGGTAGAAAATGAATTTAATTTCCACACTGACTGGATTTTACATAACCTTTATGGTAATTATTTATTGTAAAGCCACTTATTTTCATCCTTTTAAAATAGCACCAAATAAAGCAAAGATCAAAACAGTAGTTGTTTTAATGTAAAATAGATATAAAATTATTGGCTTAAGAAATCTTCAGATATTTCACAGATACCCACTTTCACTCATGTTTTTAAGTATGAACTGCATGAGCCAAAGGGGTAAAAAGCAGCCTTATTATATCAGTTCCCAACACACTGTCAATAAATGACTGAAATGTTAATAGGTTCTCATGTGTCTTTGTCCAAATTCATGATCTTAATTTTGATAATTGCAAATTTTTAAATATTAGCTAGTCAGTACTGTTAGTGTATTCTTATTTAGTTATTTGGTATTATATGTGCTATTTTTTTCAACAAGATAAATATTTACCTTATTCTCTTATATTTTCTTTATACTTTTTTTGGTGTGTGTGTGTATGTTTTTTTTATTGATTTATACTAAGTATGCAGAGTTGAGCTCATCTGGAAAAGCAGGTCCAGGCCCAAGAAAGATAAACTCTTTCATTGAGAGTCACCACTATTCTGATTTCTAACAAAACAGATTCGTTTTGGATGGTTTTGAACTTTACATAAATGGAATCTTGCTGTTGGCATCTAAGTTACCTAGTGCTGCTAGATAAAGAAGGGCTAATACACACCATGCAAGTTGAAAATTCAGCAGAACAATTTGCGTATCAGTCTCATGGCTTGACAATAATCCTGTGTTCTCTGAGACCATCTAGGCATTGGCCCTTCCATCAAGATTCTGGGTCTTGAACCCTGAACTTCAGCTCTGCCTTCCAGAGGAGCTCTGCTTCCTTGACTTTGAGCGTCCCCTTTCTCACTAGTCTATCTGCCCCACCCTTTTAGCCCCCGCAGGCCCTTAGGCATGGCAACCCCACTCCACCAGCTTTGGACATAGGCCCCATCTTCATAAGGGCAGTCCCCCCATGGCAGAACGGAGTTGGTGAAGAAGATCCAACTCTAAAATTTAGGAAATGCAGCCTATCCTTGGAAACCTCAAAGGTCATGGATTCACCCTTTGAGAACCCAGAAGTCCTTTCCCTACTTATTGAGAATAACCAACTCTGCATCCCATGCTCCTTCTTTAACTTCTACTTCCTGGTTCCTTGGTATCTACAAGAGACTAGCATGACTCTGTTCTACTCTGGCAAGTGTTACAAAGCTCTTAAGTATTACTGGTAAGTGCCAAAAGGCCCCTGCTCCAACAGTAAGCCTTGGCCTGAAGGCACACAGCATTCTAGTTCATGGGTCAGAAAGCCTAACTCCTCTAATAAGTGCCATGGGGTACCCCACTCTGCCAGGGAGCCTCCTGCATGCTGGTGCTCAGCTCTGTCACTCTGTTTTGTATTGCCTTCTGGTTCTGCTGTTGCAGTTTCTCTGTCAAAGCTTTTCAATGTCTGTGCTGTCTCCAGTGTCAAAGTTCTTCTCACATCTTTCTGAACTTTCATCAGAATTGCTTTTGACATCCATAATTCCACTACATGTCTAGTCTAGGCAATCTAGGCTTTTACTATTAGGCGTCATAGTATTCTTCCAGCCTTTACACACTAACTCATCCAATTCCAAAATGTTTCTACATTTTCGATATCTGTTAGAGAAGCACCTCACTCTCCCAGTACTCATTTCTGTCTTAGTTCTCTAGTGCTGCTATAACAGAAATACCACAAGTGGATAACCTTCACAAACAGATATTTATTTTCATAGTTTAGGAGGGTAGAAGTCCAAATTCAGAGTGCCAGCTGTAAGGGAAGGATTTCTCTTAGTTGTCAGCTCTAGAGAAAGGTCCTTGTCTCCTTTCAGCATCTGTAGGCCCAGCATTCCTGGAAGGTCTCCCTTGGCATCAGTCTTTTCCTATATCTAGGAGCTTCACAGTTCAGAGACTCCAGGTCCCAAAGCTGTACTCCACTCCTGGCTCATCTTTCTTGGTGGTAGCAGGTTCCTCATGATGATAATTCCTTACCTTGGTTTGTTAAGGTTTAAGTTAAAATATTTAAAATAAATGTAAGGTTTCTTTTCTCTTTGTGTTTTTAGAAACATCAAATGATGTCCCAGCAATAATGTCATCTCTATGGAAGAAGTTAGACCATACACTTTCTCAGATCAGGTAACAAACTTATTTAGGTAATAAACTTATCAGGATGTGCTTAATGTTTTGGGGATGCAAACATAAGGAAAAACCATTTTGTAAATCTTTATAAATCCAACATGGTCCACTTAATGTAACACTGATAATTTTTCGGGGGGGGGGCTGGATAGTGTACTTTATTGATGGTACATGATAAGACTGGGCTCTCTAAGCCTCTCCCCTTCTCCAGGGGGTCTGGATGGAAACTGTGAGGATGGGAGCTTCTCAGTGTAGAGAGAGATTAGAGTTGGAGTAAGGACTCCCAGCAGCTGAGGCCCTCTGTCTTCCTCTAGTGCTGTTGCTGGGGCTGGTGGTTCAGGGGGCTCTTATTCTTTGGAGGCCATGTGGACCAGTAAGATCCACCACCCTGTTGCTGTAGCTGAATTCATTGTCACACCAGTAAATGAGCTTGACAAAGTGGTCATTGAGGGCAGTGCCAGCCCCAGAATCAAAGGTGGAAGAGTGGATGTCACTGTTAAAGTCACAGGAGACGACCTGGTCTTCAGTGTAATCCAGGATGCCTTTTAGGGATCCATCTGATGCCTCCTTCACCATCTTCTTGATGTCATTGTATTTGGCAGCTTTCTCCAGGTGGCAGGTCAGGTCCACAACAGACACGTTAGAGTGGGGACTTGGAAGGACATGCCAGTGAGTTTCCCATTTAGTTAGGGATGACCTTGCCCACAGCCTTGGCAGCACCGGTACATGCATGCATGATGTTCTGGGCAGCCCCACGGTCATCACACCACAGTTTCCCAGAGGGGCCATCCACAATCTTCTGGGTGGCAGTGATGGCATGGACTGTGGTCATGAGTCCCTCCATGATGCCAGAATTGTCATGGATGACCTTGGCCAGGGGGGCCAAACAGTTGGTGATGCAGGAGACATTGGTGACAATCTTGAGTTGTCATATTTTCTCATGGTTCATGCCCATCACAAACATGGGGGCATCAGCAGAAGGGGCAGAGATGATTACCCTTTTGTCACTACCTTTCAAGTAAGCCCCAGTCTTCTCCAAGGTTTGAAGACACTGGTGGACTCCACAATATATTCAGCACCAGCATCACCCCACTTGATGTTGATGAGATCTCACTCCTGGAAGATAAGAGATGGGCTTCCCATTGATGATAAGTTTCCTGTTCTCAGCTTTTACAGTGCTGTTGGACTTGCCATGGGTGGGATCATACTGGAACATGTATACCATGTAATTCAGATCAATGAAGGGGTCATTGATGACAACAATCTCCACTTTGCCAGAGTTAGCAGCAACCCTGGTGACCAGGTGCCCAATACGGCCAAATCTGTTGACTCCAACCTTCACCATCTTGTCTCAGGGTTGTGGCTGGTACTGCAAGTGAAGCTGCGGCTGCCTGTCGAACAGGGAGGAGCAGAGAGCCGTAACACTTATAAATTTTTGAAATTGCTTTTTGTCTGAGCTTGAAATAAATTGGAATAAATTATATGCTTTAATGTTTAGAAAAATGAGACTTGTGTAAGTTTAATGACATTTCCAAATTTCCATTGCAATTTAGAGGCAGATCTGGGGCTAGAATACAAGTGTCCTTAATCCTAGTCTAGTGTGAGTTGCTATAGGCAATTTCTTTTTTACTGCATGGTCAACAATTGGTATGTTGAATTGGTAAAACAAAAAGGATCTGTTTCATAAGCAGCCTCATCCCTCAGTTCTTTGGGGCATAAAGAAACAATCTTTTATGTTTATCTAAGAATAACACTACTTCTGGGATCTTTGACTTTTCTAACTATAATTTTAGCATGGTACTAATCTCCAGCTTCTACCTAGGTTCAGCATCTAGAGAAAGATGTTAGCCACGCTAGTGTCAATTTTATAGCATCTTTTATTTGATCAAAGTCTGGTATAAAAAGCAGTTTCTTAGATTGCTTCTCTTCCTCACATGGATATAAGTGAATACCCCTATTCTACTCATCTTCAACAGAGGCCTCTCTTTTCCTTCCATTGTTTAAACTGCTAACTAAAATGGCTCCAAATGCTTTTACTTAACTCTGGAGCACATCTAATGTGATAGTCTTAACCTTTGTCCAGGAGCCCTGTTGACACAGTGTTTCAGCACTCGACTGCTAAACAAATGGTGGTTCAAACCCAGCAGCTACTCCATGAGAGAAATGACCTGGCCATTTGCCTCTGTAAAGATTACAGCGTAGGAAATCCTATAGGCAGATAGTTCTCAGTAAGTTGGAATCTCAACAGCACACACCACCACCACTGCTTTTGATCCCTTTTCCTTACTCTCTGGCCTTTTTTTTTTTTTGCCTTTTCTCCCCTTGTAAGTAATCAAAGATATTCACAGTTTAGTCAATACCTGTAACTATAAATTATTGATATTTTTATTGGCCAAATGTTACATAGAAAGAAAAGATTCTTAGCCAGGTATTTTCCAAGGTTGATTAATGTGTTTTATTAAAAATGCTTCATTCAAATAAGTAAGTTTTGTGGCTTTTCTTGGTAGAGAGTTATTTAGCAGATTTCCTAAAACAATAGCATAGTGCCTATATGACTGATTGCCAAATACATGGGTCACTCCACTTCATAGTAAAAGGCTAATTGCCATCTCTGAATTTTCCTTGTTCCTTCTTTAGAGAGTGGTTAAAAAAAAATTCATTGTTTATAAATCTGATCTTCTTGAACATCAACGTGAGGATTCTTTGATGTGAATTTTGTAAATTTGGATCATCTGTGAAATAAAAATTGTTCCATGAGAAGAGATCTGTATTTATAATAGATAACTGAAAAATTTCTACTTTGTGTATAACGTCTTAAATACATGTAATTCTTAAAACCCAGTCAGATTGTATTTCTGATGTAATACTGTCAGAGCACTCTTAACAAACTTTTATATTTGAAATTAATTATGTGTGCATGCTTCAGTGTGTTTACAGGCCACTTTTTTTTTAGCCAATTATACTCACTTACCCAAAAAATTACAAGGAGCTTCCAAAAATTTGTAGGAAAATTGTATTATCTTTCGGTTTCATTTTTCCATGAACTTTGAAGACCTCTTATATATATAATTTGTCTTTTTCATCTGAAAGAGGTTTATTGTCTTTTAATTTATACTTGCTTGATGTCTAGATTTAAGTAGGTCACAGTATATCAATATAATAGTTTCTTGGTTAGTTTTGTTGTTTTTTTTAAATAATTAATTCCTTTTTTTGTTGTTGTCATTAGGAGTATGCAAAGTTCCCCAGGGTTTGCTGCCAGTCAGAGAGGTTGGTATTCAATTTTAAACCGTCAACAATGCTCAAAACTGCAAACTCTCCCATGACTATTTTTAATGGCATTACATGTATCCTAGGTATATATTTTGTTTAAAGCACTGTTTTTCCTAAGAGACGATAATATCATGTTGTTGTTAAGTTCCATTGAGTTGGTTCCAGCCTATATCAACCCTGTTTCCAAGGGGTTTCCAAGGAGTGACTGGTGAGCTTGAACTGCAGACCTTGCGGTTCAAACCGACATTGTAGTCCAGTGCATTAACCCACAGAGTCACACCAGGATGGACACAGTATTTTCATTTATCATTATAATGTTGTTGTTGTTAAGTACCTTGGAGTTGGTTCCGACTCATAGGGACCCTGTACAGATTTCCGAGGCTGTAAATCTGTACGGGAGCAGAAAGCCTCATCTTTCTCCCGCAGAACAGCTGGTAGTTTCAAACTGCTTACCTTGTGGTTCGCAGCCTGATTCGTAACCACTACACTACCAGAGCTCCTTATCCTTATTATAATAGACATTTTAAAAATACCTTCTGCATTTCCCATTGGCTCTCCTATAGTAGTATCTTCTCATTCTGTAATTTTAAGTTTTTTAATTTTGGGGGGAATTATCAGTAGAAAATATTATTAAAGAAATGTAATCTTAAATTTAAAGTTTGGGTGTACTTTGTTTTTTATAAACATTAATGTTGATTTTATAAGGGCTTTTTATATGTAGCTTTGACATGTTTTAGTGAGGCATACATCATATAAAGAAACATCTTTAAATCCCTGAATTACTTTGATATTGACGGAATTTTTAAAATGCCTCATGTGTTTCAGCCAGAACAAGAAGTGGAATTGCAGAAATCAAACGGCAGAGAAGACTTGCATCTCATGCAACTCCAGTCAGTTCGGATGTGCTGACTTTACCATATCTTTCAGGACAATTTACTACTACTCCTTTGACAACTACACAAGTTGTTAGATCAGCTAGCCAAATTTCAACTCCACTGAGGTCAAACTTTGTAGTAGTTAACCCTTCACAGTCGCAAGACACTGTAACTAGTAAGTTAAAAATTTTCTCTCCTGCTGATGTCACTGATCTAAGATCATGCTTCCAAATTAGATAACGAAGCCATGTAATGTCGCTAGCAAAAATTAAGGCAACTGGTGTATATTTCTCATGTAAATATAATGGACACCCATGATACTTACCTTGAGTTTTTATTTTTAATCAAGTATATATTTTCTTTTTTAGTACAGATGAAACTAGGAAGGTAAAGTAATGTGAGCATGTATGTACTATCAGTGGCTTCTTACACTTCTTACATTCTGCTGGGTTTACTACTTGTTGAGACTAAACTTTGTATTTTATTGTAAAAACTTTAGGTATAGGAATTGTATTCATCTTAATATATTTATAATGTTTTGCTAATGGTAGTCACAGTAAATGTTTATGGAATTATATATCAAATAATCAATATGCTACTTATAAAAATAAGTTTTTAAAATTATTCAGTTTCCTCATCTTATCATTTGGGTTCTTTTGTTTTTTCTTAAAATATAGCTGGAGAAGTTTTAAATATGATTCCTGGTCTTCAGGAACGGAAAACTCATGCCAGTTTAATGTCTCCTGGTAGACGTAAAAGGTAAATGTTATGTTAAAAGACAAGTTGTTTATAACCTGAATTTTAAAAATGAGAATTATACCAAGATACTTGCACTGTAGGACTTCTTAATTTCTTGGGTCTGCTTTATCCCATTCCAAACACTTTTTTTTTTTTTTTTTTT